GATGCATGCCTAGCTAAAGTCTTGCCAAACGTTTACGGGGAGCGGTAACAGCATGTAGTACATCGGCGCCGAATCAAACAGTGCGAAGAACGATTTCAAAACAGTGACACGCTTCAGCTAACCTTCCCAACTGTTGCAAGCGTGTACTCTCGTAGCTAAAGCGACGACCTCTCCAAGTCGTGTGCCCTGGGGCGGCCGGTTCGGTTCCAAGGAGACCAAGTTGGCTGTTTGGGTTTGTTTCGGCTTGCCACTTCGATTTGGATTGAGCGGCCCAGTTCCGACCAGTTCGGTTGTGGCTTTGGTTCGGCGGGTTGGGTTGCAGATGCCGCCAGCTCATCGGTACCAGCTCCCGTTCAGCGCCAGCATATTCTTGACCGCGCATCATGCGATGGTGTTATTTTGTGGGCCCAGCTCCGCTGAGGCACCCATGGGCGGATGTAGCCACGTCCGCGCACTGGGGAGGGATGGGTGGGAGGGGCAGGATGTCGCTTGTGGCGCGCGCGCACGTGGCTGGCCTCTCCCTCTCCACCCCCCGCCCTTTCTCTCCCTCCCTACCCACCGCCCCTTCTCTCCCTCCCGGAGTCCCTGGCCCGAGGCATGCTGGAGACACATAGGCCGAGGCATGCTTGAGACACAGAGGAGGGCCAAAGAGCACCCTCAATACGGCTGTCGTCGCACGGCCCCGTTGATGGCGCGTTACACAACCCACCTTGGGAACCGCGCGCGCCGGGCAAAGCCTGGCAGGTGAATGGCGCACACCGACGAGGCCTGGGGACCTCGTGTGGGGATCGCCTCACAGAGATGGCGTCCTTTTTCGGACATCGAGGTTGCGCGCTGCCTTTGCAACGCCAGCCGCATCCCAGATCCTGATCCTCCCCCTCCTCCCCCTCCTCCTCCTCCTCCTTGTCCTCCTCCTCCTCCTCCTTCTCCTCCTCCTCCTCCTCCTCCTCCTCCTCCTCCTCCTCCTCCTCCTCCTCCTCCTCCTCCTCCTCCCCCTCCTCCTCCTCCTCCCCTTCCTCCTCCTCCTCCTCCTCCTCCTCCTCCTCCTCCTCCTCCTCCTCCTCCTCCTCCTCCTCCTCTCCTCCCTCCTCCCCCCTCCTCCTCCTCCTCCTCCTCCTCCTCCTCCTCCTCCTCCTCCTCCTCCTCCGGATCCCGATTCTCGATCCCCCACCGCCCCCACCGTGGGAGCCCCGTGTGCGCTCGCAGTGCCGTCTTCGGCGTCGCTTCGCGGCGAGCAGCGCCTGGGAGTGGACGGGGTACAGCGCCGACTCAGCGCCGGCCCGCGTCGAGGAGCGTCGATCCGGCGTCGATCTGGCGTCGCTTTGGCGTCGACGAGCGCCGATCTCGCAAGAGCCGACAAGATGGCACGGGGCGATGGGCCTGTTCTCCACCACCACCACCACCACCATGAGTTGGAGGGGGAGGGGGCCCTCCGCCTTCTCCTCCTCCTCCTCGTCTTCCTCCTCCTCCCCGTCCTCATTCTCTTCTTTCCCCCCGTCCAACTTCTGGTGCTGGTGGTGGAAAACATGCCCATCATGGGATGCTCCCGTGAGCTGCCACCAGACCACTGCCCCCCCTTTTCGGCGGGGCAGGCCTCTGCACTCCAGGTGGGGATAAAAACAATTCAGGCGCAAGGAGTCCTCGACTCTCAGGGGAACTACGGGAAACTATGGGAAGTGGAGGGAGGACGAAGATCCAGAAGTTATTGACATAGAGGGGGAATCCTAATGCTGGGATTGGTGTGTCTTTATTTGTATGTCCTTGGGCCCCTTGCGCACTCTTCGCGCCCGGGCGTGCCACGTTCTCTAGCGGGGCCCCACGCTTGGGGTTTCCGCCGCGTGCGCCGCCACATCGCCCAGCGTTGCGGTTCCCGCTCCCACCAGTCAACCTTCCATTTTGCCGTCAATAGGCACCGGAGGGGGCCGATGACCCCCCTACGGTCCCTCGGCCAACGAAGACGGCCGTAGGGGGGGGTGACCCGTACGTCCATCTCAAGGCATTCGTGCCACCACCTACCATTCCGGGCACCAATTGCCACCCACCACATCTATCCTCCTTTGGGCCGTGAGCGGGATTTGTTCCCCTGCCGGCTGATTGTGCCTGTCAATGTCAGTAAGCCTTTACATTTTGGCACTTGGGCAACCCCAGCAGTGCACCAAGGGTGACGGTTCGACCCGTGCTGTAGTGGCACTCGTGCGGTCGTGTCCCTCTCCCCGCCCACCTAGGGTGATGGTTCGACCCGTGCTGTAGTGGCATTCGTGCGGTCGTGCCCACTCCCCGCCAACCAATCGAGAAAACCTACCTCAAGGATCCCTTGGGGCCACAAATCTACGTTTGACTTCAGTCTCTGTCCCCCCGCCCCTCTCTTCCCCGTCCCCGCTCTGGCCCCTTGCCCGCTCCCTTCCCCCCCCCGCTTTTCTTGCCTTGTCTCTTCTCCTCCTCCTCCTGTCCTCCTTGCCCGTTCTCTCCTCCTCTGCCTCTGTTTTGCCCGTCCCCGCACCAGCATGTCTGGATCGCGGGGTACGGTGCCGGGTTTCTTCTCTCTCCTTTTAGGGCTGCCCCAGTCGAGGATCCCGCAAACCCCTCGCCTGCGCCGCGCGCCGTGCTGCCGGCGCACGTGGGGGATTATTCGCCTGGGGTCGAGCTCGGCGCCTCGGTCGCTTCGTCGTCTGGGGCGCCTTCGCGGACCTGGAGTGGCATCCAATTCCTGGCGGCGGGGGCGATCGACCCTCCTTTTCCTGGGTCCTCGTGGGCCCTGGTCTCCGGCTTCTGGTCTGGTGTGCGGATTGGGGCTGTTTCCCCAAACGGCTATGGAGATTTTGTCCCCTCCCCCTCGCTTTGGCCGGCTCCGGGGGGTCCTGGTCCGAAATGGCACTTCCCACCTTGTTCCATTCCCCAGGGGAGGCATGGGACTTTATCTTGGTGGGGATGCGACTTCGCGACCCCGCCCCCCTATCACGCCACCCTTGTCCGGCCCACCCGTCGATGTAGTGAAGAAGTAGTCCTGGAGGTTCCGGGGTGTGTGGCGTATACACAGTCTCGGAGTCGAAGTTGTGTATGCTGGTTTGTGGGCCCCCATTTGCAGGAATCCCGCCTCAGGAGTGAGAGGCATCGCGGGCGGCATCGACGCCCGGAGTGGCCCCCCTCCCTCTCGCCCCTCCCCTCGGCGAGAACCGTCAGTAGGCCTCGTCGGTGAGGACCGTCATTAGGCCTCACACCCCTCGCAGCTTCCATCAATGGGGTTGTGAGGGTTCCCACCCCCACCAGTCAACCTTCCATTTTGCCGTCGTAGGCGCCGGAGGGGGCCGATGACCCCCCTACGGTCCCTCGGCCAACGAAGACGGCCGTAGGGGGGGGTGACCCGTACGTCCATCTCAAGGCATTCGTGCCACCACCTACCATTCCAGGCACCAGTTGCCACCCACCACATCTATCCCCCTGAAGCCCGCGGCCCAGGTGGCCACGCCGGCGCGGGCGGCGTGCGTGACGGGCCTGTTTTCCGCCGCCGCCACCACCATAAGTTGGAGGGGGGAGGGGGTCCTCCTCCCCCTCTTCTTCTTCCTCCTGCTCCTCCTCCTCCGCCTCCTTCCCCCCTCCAACTTATGGTGGTGTTGGTGGTAGTGGAGAACGAGCCCATCAGTGCGGCTTGGCCATCGCCTCGGCCTTGGGGGGCACACCTGGGGCGCGCCAGGGGCGGGGGGGCGCGAGGGGGGCGGCCTCCTGGACAGGAGGGGGGCTTCCCAGAAGGCGGGGGCCTTCCTCGAAAGGCCCAGAGGCTTTCGTCAGACTCGGGTTTGGCCAGGACCACAGGTAAGGATACCCAGTTAGTGGTAGGGCCCCGGAGCCCTTGAATGGGCCAGAATCACTAGACAGGTTTGCCATAGCTGGTGTTTTTTCTGGTGACGGCAATTCCGGTTAGTGGAATGGGACGGGGGGGGCGTCCCCGGTACAGATCATTCAACCAGGTCCCACCAAACCCAGTTCTGCCAACGCCCGACAGACGATCGCAAACATGGATGCAGGGGGCGTGGATTAGCGACGGGTCCCGCTTCCATGAGAAATCGCGGATGTCCGCCGCTGGACGAGGCGGCGCTGGCTGCGTTTTGGGGAGGGCACCTCCCCTGATCCATGGATCTGGCGACCGCGCGCCAAATCCATGGATCGCTGATCCATGTTGGCGCGCCCCCGATTTTGGGACAGGCCAGAGGCTTCGTAGGAGGGCCCAGACTCGGGCCGGACGAAAGGGGGGGATTGGGAAAAGGGGGGTTACGAAATTTGCTGCATGCAGCTGGTTTCGGCCCCACCGATGGGCCCATTCCTCGATGCATTGCCGCCTCTGGCGCCGGGAGGCGCCGGGAAAATCAGCTACGTGAGCTGATTCTCGAACCCCCCCTCTGCTATCCCCCCCTTTCGCCCTACCCGACAGAGGCTTCCGCGGCGCATTCCTGGAAGCACGGGGGGGGCTCCCTGTGAAGCCTTTCCTGGAAGCAGGGGGCCCGCCTTCCCAGCTAACCGCCCCCTTTTTGCCACCCCCTTCTGCGCGCCGCCAGGGATCGGCAGGGAACAAAAACAAAGCCAATGGCACGCCGGTGCTTGGAACCCATCGGCGTATTACCCCCTCGCTTCTTGCCAGAAGCCTGGTGCAGCTCGGTGATGGGCCCCCCCTGGAGGCGTTCCATCGACACTGCCTCTGCTCTTCCCAGAGAAAGGCGTCTTTCAAGGTTCGAGTCTCCTCCGCCCCCCTCCACGAGGAGGAGAAGGAGGAGGATGAGGAGGGAGGAGGCAGGAGGCAGGAGGGAGGAAGGAGGGAGGAGGGAGGGTGGAGGAGGGAAGAGGGAAGAGGGAGGAGGGAGGAGGGAGGAGGCAAGAGGCAGGAGGGAGGAGGGAGGAGGGAGGATGTAGAAGGAGGGGAGAGGAGGGGAGGGAGGGGGGGGAGGGAGGAGGAAGAGGAGGAGGAGGGGGAGGAGGAGGAGGGGCCACTCCCTGCGCTGGCCGCCCAGGAACCCCTGTGGCGCCAGTGCGAGCGCGACCGCCTGCGCCAGGCGCCGCCGCGCGCGCGGCCGGCGCCGCGGCGGCCGCCAGCCCTCGGCCGCGGTTGGCCGCGGCCGTCACGTGGACCAATCAAGCAGTGTCGAAGCATCCTGGCCTGCCTATATCAGGAGCGAAGAAAGGAGGTACACGTGCATGCATCTACGTTGGTTTCGAGAGTACGCATTGCGCGATCTTGCCTGTCTCGCGGCTGGTATCGCGAATTGGGGGGGCCGTTTTCAGGTAGGTGGATGGGCGCGTGGACGCACCTCCCTTTAGTAAGCCACCCTTTAGTGAAAACGGCCCGGGACCGAAACCGACGGACCTGGAACCGCAAACGTGACGGCTGCGACGCCCTCTCGCGAACCGAACACGGCCAATTTGCGAATCGACGTGTCGGGGCAGGAGGTGTGTCGGCCTCCGAAGGCAGGAGAGGTGCTCTGTTCGCCACCCTCGCTCGACGGTGTGCCGCTCGGGTGGGTTCGATCACCCGTGCACACGCCGGGGCCTCGAGCATCCGAGGCCAATCACGCACCAGAGGGCCAGCAGAGGACAGCGAGGGGCCGGTCACGGGCGTTCTCGCGAACCTCGGGACTCGAGAGACGGGGGTCGATGCAAACGGGGGTCAGCCAGGGCACCGGGATCCTGCAGGGTCCTGCGAAGGCCCCCTCTTGGCTGACCCGGGTCAGCGAGCCGCTCGTGGCCGCGCGAGGCGGCCGCGCATGTTGGCTGGCCCGGGTTTGCGAGGACCTGCATTGCAGTTTTTTGTTTCTCCTGCGTTGCGGTTTGTTGGTGTCCTGCTGACCCGAGTCTGGCTTGACCCGGGTCAGAGGACTCCCGAGAGAACTGCATACGATCGGCGGCGCGCCCCGGGGGGGAAGTGAGAAGGGCGGCGGGCCCTTTCGGAAGGCTCGGGCCCCATCAGGCCAGCCACAACTGGGGGAGCTGTGGTCCTTATACCCCTGGGGGACCCATCGATTTCGACACCCCTCTTCGAGAGATCGTCGATGCGATGGGTTCCCCCAGGGGGGTAAGGACCACAGCTCCCCCAGTTATGGCTGGTCGGCCCATGGCCGTCCGAGGAGATTTCGAGGCCTCCCCCAAAGACACTCAGAAGGCGCGAGGGCTTCTGAGAAGCCCCGCCACCTCCTGAGGAGGCCTTCTCCTTCTCACTTCCCCCTCTAACTTGCCGCCGATACAAGAACGGGCTCCGACAATCTCTGCCATGTCGTCCCTTGTTCCCTCCAGGCGAGCCCAGAATCGAATCGATCAGTCGGATCGGCGATCGACATGAGTCGGATCAGCGGAAATCGGCAGCCGAGTCGGGACTCGGCGGGCATCGGCAGGCCAGCAGGCCTCCAAAGAGACGTCGGAAGCCAAGTCGGAACCCGAAGTCGGATCGAATCGGAATCGAAAACCATCGAGACCGAATCGAATCGAATCGGAGGAATCGGAAAGAGCCCTGTCCATCCACCTCTGGTAAACAAAACAAAGACCCCTAATCCTTTGGGAGGGGACTTGAGTCAGGAGGGCCAGGGCCAAAGACATCAGGGGTGCGGGGGCCTGTTCTGCGGATGCATCAGACCACGCCGCCCAGACTTCTTATCCCTGATGCGAAGACGGGGACCCAAGTGAGGCCACGTCTTCATCGTGCTATGAGGATCAGGGGTTGTTCTCTCGTCCTCGATGAACCAGCGCCGCAACATGTAAAAACCGTGACGAAAACACGACGGGAGCCGGCAGCACCGCGCGCAGCACCACCGGCGCCACCAGCAGCACCGGCACGACCAACGCGACAGGCAGCGGCAGCGGCAGCACGCGCGCCAGCACCAGCGCAGCCAGCAGCACCACCGTGACCAGCACAGCGACAACCGGCGCCACGGGCGCCACCGCCACGCCTCCATCGTGCTATTCGGGCCAGGCGCCCTCGGCTTTGGGTTTCGCCTTTGGGGTCGCCCCCGCTGAAGCGATTGCAATCATCGACGCAGCCGCCTTTGGCGCGAATTTCGGATGGCTGGAGGGCGAGCGTGCTCGCTGGCCCTCCATCCTCGGCGCGACCCGCGCCTCCGCGGCGAGGGCCGCGGCACGTCGCGCAGGCCGCGTCTCCGCGGCCACGGCGGCCCCGCGTGCCGCGGCGCCGTGGCGCACACGCACGGGCGCTGCCCTGGTCCTCCGCTTCGGGACGCACAAACATGGTGGGCTTGTTTTTCCACCACCACCACCATAAGTAGGAGGGGGAGGGGGTCCTCCTCCTCCTCCTCCTCCTGCTCCTCCTCCTCCTCCTCCTCCTCCTCCTCCTCCTCCTCCTCCTCCCCCTCGTCCTCCTCCTCCTCCTCCTCCTCCTCCTCCTCCTCCTCCTCCTCATTCCCCCTCCAACTTATGGTGGTGGTGGTGGAATACAGGCCCATGACACACACACATTTTTCGTCGGCGGCGAGGCAGAGGCAACCCGCACCAGTGTGGGGGGCGAATCGGGGCAAACGACAAGCATATTGTCCGCCGTACAAGAGAGAAGGACCGAGACGAGGGCCAGCCGCGCGAACGGTGGAGGGGGAGGGCGCTCAGACGTGGAGGACTTCCGCGGGGAGCGGGCCAGAGTGGCCGGCAGAGAGACACACACACACACACATACACACGAACATCAACACATGTTGTGTTTTACTCGGCAGTTCGGAAGGTCGCTTCACGATGCTAGAACTCGCCGGCCAGTGTAACACCAAGCCGTGCTCCGCACTCGGCCCGATTCGCCAACGCCTCGCTGACGCGCGCCGCCAAACTCTGCCCTGTCCTCCCTCGCTCTCTCCTCCTCCTCGGCGCGCCGCTTCTCCGCGGGCGCCGCTGCTCGTCGCCGGCCGCGCCGCGGCCGAGCCGCGGCCGCGCCGCGGCGCGCACGGCACCGTCGCGCACGCATGGTCCTCCCCCTCCTCCTCCTCTTCCTCCTCCTCCTCCTCCGCCTCCTCCTCCCCCTCCTCCTCCTCCTCCTCCTCCTCTTCGGGACACTTCTTCGGGACACGCACCCATCGGTCGGAAGAAGCAGGCAGAAGCATGAAGTAGCAAGGCGTTGGACGTGGCCTGGATCTACCACGAAGCCAGGACGAGGACAACTTTGGGTGAGGAGAAAGCGAGAGTCTCTGAGATTTGGCGGCTCTGGATGATGAATCGGGCGCCGCGGCCTTACCAGAGCGTTCCGGAACGCTCTGGAACGGATTGGCCCTCGTCTTAGTCCTGCACGAGGATCTCTCCGCCCTTCCCCTGAAAAGGAGAGAAGAGGGGAAGCCACTCGATCTTTGTTTGAAGTAGGCATGCGCCTAAAGTAGACCAGGACTTGGGCATCCAAGAGTACCTACTTTCAACGATTGGTGTGTACGATGGACAAAACATGTTATTTTCTCCTTGAGCAGTTTGGAAGGCCGTTTCACGATGTTAGGATTCGCTGCCAAGTGAAAAAATATCCCACCTTGCACTCGACTCGACTCGCAAGCGCATCGCCGACACGCTCCTGCAAAATCTTGCTATAGGGAACCTTTTGGGACGATTCGTCGTCGATTTCTGAGATCTCCCGTAAGGTCCGCCCGAATAGCTTGTGTACTATACCGAACACATCCTGGGTGCTGGTCTGGGATTGGTATGCACCATTCCCTCTCTGGGGCGTGTGGTTCGTGTGTACTGAACGTGGCCCCTCAAGGTGGAAACCGCTTGGGGTGGGGAGGGTGTCATAGGTTCGGATGCAACTCCTGGGAGGTCAAATTCTGTTTTCGCCCTGGTCCGAAATCCGGCGTAAACCAGCTTAATCCCGCTTGATCTGGCTTAATCCCGCTAAATCCCGCTTAATCCCGCTTAATCCGGTTTAATCCTGCTTAGTCCGAGGCCCATTCCGGCGTGACAGCTTCTAAATTTGATTGATTCTTTATAATTAATACCACATATTTTGCATACATTTGATGGTATTTCTTTTTTAATGATATATGGGGCTTGATCCTCCTTAATCTTTCCGACGAAAACCTCCCAGTAGTTGCCTCCTAGAATCTACAAGAAGAAGTAAGCTGAGGATACGGTGCCTCAGAGCCTCTGTGAGTCCCTGTGGACATCGAGGGGGGGGGTCCTCTGCGTGGCACACCCGCTGAGAGGCCGATGCCGCGGCGTCGGCGGCGCCCCGCGCGACAGGGTGCTGGCTGGGGGTGGCCAGGCTGGATCCCGGCACCGCCGAGGCCGCAGTCTCGAGGCGGTTCCAGCCGCGGCCAAGGAGAGGGGAGCCTCTTTGAGAACGCGACGCACAGAGACATGCCAATGCTAGATGGCCGCGCCCCCGCCGCCCGCCAGGCGGACGAGCAGTCGCGGCTGTGGCGCGACTGGCTGCGGGAGCAGGAGAGGGAGCGTAGGCCGGGCGAGGGGCGACGGGGCCCGGATGGTGCGGGTGCTGCTGGGGATGATGCGAAGCAGGAGAAAACGGGGACGGCTGATGATGGTGATGATGATGATGATGATGATGGTGGTGGTGGTGGTGGTGATGTTGATGATGCTGATGATTATGATGCTGATGATGATGATGATGATGGTGATGGCGATGATGATGATGATGATGATGATGATGGTGGTGGTGGTGGTGGTGGTCATGATGATGCTGATGATGATGCTGATGGTGATGATGATGGTGATGAAGATGATGATGGTGGTGATGGCGATGATGATGATGATAATGGTGGTGGTGATGATGATGACGGTGACGATGATGCTGATGATGATGGTGGTGATGATGACGGTGATGATGATGGTGGTGGTGATGATAATGATGATGCTGATGATGCTGATGATGCTGATGATGATGATGGTGATGATGATGATGATGATGGTGGTAGTGGTGGTGATGATGATAGTGATGGTGGTGATGGTGATAATTGCTGATGTTGATGGTGATGTTGGTGGTGGTGGTGGTAATGATGATGTGGATGATGCTGATTCTGATGATGATGGTGGTGGTGGTACTGATGATGCTGATGATGATGATTGTGGTGATGCTGATGGTGATGATGATGGTGGTGATGATGATGATGATGGTGGTGGTGGTGATTGTGGTGGTGGTGATGATGATGCTGATGATGCTGATGCTGATGATGCTTGTGATGATGCTGATGATGGTAATGGTGATGATGATGGTGGTGGTGGTGATGATGATGCTGATGGTGATGATGGTGATGATGATGGTGATGATGATGATGATGGTGGTGATGGTGATGATGATGATACTGCTGATGATGATACTGATGATGGAGATGATGATGGTGATAATGATGATGATGCCGACGATGATGGTGGTGGTGATGATGATGATGGTGGTGGTGATTGTGATGATGGTGGTGATGGTGGTGATGGTGGTGGTGGTGATGATGCTGATGATGCTGATGATGGTGGTGATGATGATGAATATGATGATGATGATGATGGTGATGATGATGGTGATGATGAAGATGATAGTGATGATGGTGGTGGGTGTTGTGGCGGTGATGATGATGCTGATGATGATGAAGGTGATGATGATTATGGTGATGATGATGAGGGTGATGCTGATGACGATGGTTTGAGTGATGGTGATGCGGATGATGCTGATTATGATGCCGATGGTGGTGATGATGATGATGGTGACGATGCTGATGATGATGGCGGTGGTGGTGTTTGTGGTGATAATGATGGTGGTGGTGGTGATGATGATGATGATGATGGTGATGATGATGATGATGATGGTGATGATGCTGATGATGGTGGTGGTGGTGATGGTGGTGGTGATGATGATGCTGCTGATGTTGTAGATGATGGTGATGATGATGGTGATGATGATGACGGTGATGCTGTTGATGATGGTGGTGGTGGTGGTTGTGATGATGACGATAGTTGTGGTGGTGGTGGTGGTGATGATGCTGATGATGCTGATGGTGGTGGTGGTGGTGATGTTGATGATGGTGATGCTGATCATGATGATGATAGTGATGCTGATGATGGTGGTGATGCTGATGCTGATGATGATGATGATGAGGATGATGGTGGTGGTGGTGATGATGATGATGATGCCGATGATGATGATGATGATGAGGATGATGATGCTGATGGGGATGATGATGATGATGATGATGATGATGGTGATGGTGGTTGTGGTGGTGGTGATGATGATGATGGTCACGATAATGCTGATGATGATGGTGGTGCTGATGATGATTGTGATGATGATTGCGGTGGTGAGGATGATAATGATGATGACGATCATGCTGATGATGATGATGATGATGATCATGGTGATGATGGTGATGATGATGGTGGCAGTGGTGGTGATGATGATGACGATGGTGGTTGTGGTGGTGACGATGATGATCCTGATGATGATGGTGATGGTGGTGGTGATGATGATGCGGATGATGCTGATTCTGATGATGATGGTGGTGGTGGTGGTCATGATGATGCTGCTGCTGATGATGGTGATGATGATGGTGATGATGATGATGATACAAATGGTGGTGATGGTGTTGACAACGATGATGGTGGTGGTGTTGGTGGTGATGTTGATGCTGCTGGTGATGCTGATGCTAATGATGATGCTGATGATGATGATGATGATGGTAATGGATGTGATGATGAGGGTGGTGGTGGTGGTGGTGATGATGTGGTTGGTGATGATGATGATGATGGTGATGGCGGTGGTGGTGGTGGTGCTCATGATTATGCTGCTGATGATGATGATGCTGATGATGATGGTGATAATGATGATGGTGATGATGATGATGTCGACGATGATGGGGGTGGTGGTGGTGATGATGGTGGCGGTGGTGATGATGATGATGGTGATGGTGGTGGGTGTAGTGATGTTGATGGTGGTGGTGGTGATGATGCTGATGATGCTGATGGTGGTGGTGGTGGTGATGATGCTGATACTGATGATAATGATGATGGTGATGATGATGGTGATGATGACTGTGGTTGTGGTGGTGATGGTGATGCTGATCTTGATGATGCTGATGATGCTGATGATGATGATGATGACGATGATGGTGATGCTGATGACGATAGTTGTGGTGGTGGTGGTGATGATGATGCTAATGATGATGCTCATGGTAATGATGACGATGGTGACGACGATGATGATGATTGTGGTGGTAGTGGCTGTGGTGATGATGATGGTGGTGGGTGTTGTGGCGGTGATGATGATGTTGATGATGATGATGATGGTGATGATGATGATGGTGGTGGTGGTGATGGTGGTGGTGGTGATGATGGTGATGCTGATGATGCTGATGATGGTGATGATGGTGACGATGATGATGATGACGGTGATGATGATGATGATGATGATAATGATGATGATGGTGTTGGTGATGATGTTGATGATAGTGGTGGTGGTGGTGATGATGATGCTGATGATGGTGATGATGATGATGATGATGGTGATGCTGATGATGGTGGTGGTAGTGGTGGTGATGGTGCTAATGCTGATGGTTTTGATGATGATGATGAAAGTGGTGGTAATGATGGTGATGATGATTCTGGGGTTGATGCTGATGATAATGTTGATGATAATGATGGTGGTGGTGATGATAATGATGATTCCGACGATCATGGTAATGATCATGGTGATAATCAGGATGATGATGATGCTGGTGATGATGCTGGTGGTGGTGGTGATTATGACGATGATGATGCTGATGATGCTGATGGTGGTGATGATGATGATGATGCTGCTGATGATGATGATGATGGTGATGCTGATGATGGTGATGGTGGTGGTGGTGGTGGTGATGTTAGTGATGATGTCGGTGGTGGTGATGGTGATGGTGGGGATTGCGGTTGATGGTGATGATGACGATGGTGATGATGATGGTGGTGGTGGATGATGACGGTGCTGATGGTGATGAAGATGATCATGATACTGGTGATGATGATGATGCTGATGATGATGATGTCGGTGATGACGATGCTGATGATGATGATGGTGGTGGTGGTGTTGTTGATTATACTGATGATGATACTGGTGATGATGATGATGATGCTGATGGTGGTGTTGGTGGTGATGGTGATGCTGCTGATGATGCTGATGATGATAGTGATGATGATGATGATGATGATGATTATGATGCTGATGGTGATGATGATGATGATGATGATGATGATGATGAGGTGGTGGTGGTGATGATAATGGTGGTGGTGGTGGTCATTATGATGATGCTGATGTTGCTGATGATGATGGTGATGATGATGGTGGTGGTGGTGATGATGCTGCTGATGATGGTGATGATGATGCTGCTGATGGTGGTGGTGATGCTGATGGTGATGATGGTGGTGATGATGGGGGTGGTGGTGGTGGTGATGATGACGAAGGTGGTGGTAGTGTTGGTGATGATGATGATCGTGCTGATGGTGATGATGATGATGATGATGATGATGATGATGATGATGATGATGATGATAGTGATGATGGTGATGCGACGATGGTGATGATGATGAGGATTGTTGTGGTAGTGATGATGATGGTGGTTGAGATGCTGATGATGATGATGATGATGATAATGATGATGGTGATGGTGGTGGTGGTGGTGGTAGTGGTGATGATGATGATGGTGATGATGATGATGATGTTGGTGGTGGTGGTCATGATAATGATACTGATGCTGATGATGGTGACGATGATGCGACGATGCTGATGATGATGATAATGGTGTTGATGGTTGTGGTGGTGATGATGATGCTGATGATGATGATGATTCTGATGGTGATGATGATGATGATGAATACTATGGTGGTGGTGGTGTTGATGATGCTGTTGATGATGATGTTGAAGGTGGTGGTGTTGGTGATGATGATGACGATGTTTATGCTGATGATGGTGATGAGGATGATGATGATGATGGAGTTAGTGGTGATGGTGATGCCGGTGATCATGATAATGCGGCGATGATGATGATGGTGATGATGATGGTGGTGGTGGTGGTGGTGGTGGTCGGGGTGTTGGTGATGTTGCTGATGATGCTTATGATGCTGATGATGGTGATGAGGATGCTGATGATGATGATGTTCATGATGATGATGATGATGATGATGATGGTGGTAGTGTTTGTGATGATGATGATGATGGTTGTCGTGGTGGTGGTCGTGCTGATGATGATGATGCTGATGGTGATGTTTATGATGAAGATGCGACGAAGATGATGATGAAGATGATGATGGTGGTGGTGATCATGATATTTCTGATGATGATGATTTTTGTGATGATGGTGATGATGATGATGGTGGTGGTGTTGGTGGTAATGGTGATGATGATGGTGGTGGTGGTGATAATGGCGATGATGATGATGCTGATGTTGATGATGGTTATGCTGATGGTGCGACGATGATGATGATG